CAACAAGGTCAGGCCCCTGGCTGCAAGGAAAAGCTGTGCCTCTTTCCCTTTCCTGTACAAACCCAAGGTGTGCTCTGCTGAAAGAAAAGCCCCTGGGACACAGGGGTGCAGTTTGCTGCCTGACAGGAATTCTTTCCTCTGCAGGTTGCAGAATCACACGGTGCAAGTAAACACCTCCGTTTCCCATTTCTCTCTTTAATCACCAAATCCTTAATACAGTACAGACTGAGCTGGCCTTGCCTGTAGGAGCCTTAGTGTTGTTTCACAGGCTTTGGATTTCAAAAAGATACCTATCAAAATCTCTGTTCTACCTTATGCTCTTGAGCTCAACTCCATTCCTCCAATATTGTTTTGGTTAGCTTTATGTGGACAAAGTTGTCAAGTGAAACTGCACAATATTGTGGCATTTAGATAATTCCAATAATTCAAAATACTTTGGCCATACTGTTTAGTTACAGGCTGTGCTAATTTTTCTAATACAGCAATTTCAACAGTGAGCCTCCCCATGGGACATCTGTCAGCAGATGCACTCCAGTATAAATGTCTGGGTTCACAGGGCCAAAGTCAATCCTCCACAGAGCTTTTTAAAAAAACTGTTATTTGAATAATACTTGAAGTGAACTCATGTGAGACTCCAGAATATGTTCTATAAGTTAACCACTTCCCTTGATGCACTTTGTGGCTCATCACTTCAGAGGGTCCAGTAGAAACACCTGTCTTTATTGGGATAGTAGATGACAAAAATGCATGAACTAAGAAGTGACTGAAGAGCTAGTTAAGTTAGGGTGAGAATTACTTGATTTTTTTTTAATGCAGTATTAGCTTTAGCTCCTTACATCCCTGTTGGGTGACTTTACACAGCTAAATAACTTCTGTGTCTCAGCTGAAGTTATTTCAAGCCTTTTCTATCTCTCTAACAGGCTGGAGAGGAATTGTTTCCCAAAGATGACAAAGGCATGGCCATACCCAGCAACAGTGATCTCCTACAGACGTGGGAGGTAAGTTCAGCCAGAGCAGAAGAGGAATGTCCTCTGTCCTCATCAGTCTTTGCCATGCTTCCATTACCTTCAGCAGTCACAGAACTGTTGTCTTGTTCACACAAAATTAGCTGGGAGGAACATAAGGCAGTACAAAATAGCTTTTCATCATGGGCATGCTTAATCCTTCCCTGGTTATTCCTGTTCTCTGAGTGTCTTACTTGCCTGGAGCTGCACAAGCACTTCCAGTGGAGCTGCACACCAGACTGAAGCTAGACTGTGGAACAATAAGAATTGCACAATTATTATCACCACAGTTCTTGTGCTTTCTTGAGTTTCTCAAATAAATTTCACAGAAATAAAGACATTTTAGGTTGAGATCTGGCCTACAATGTGTGGGACAGCCCCCTCCAATCCTTGCACAACAGTGGATTACTGAGCATCATCATTCTCCTCATGCACCTCAGTGTGAATTTCTACACACTCAGGGAATGAGAATTTGGGCTTGGGTGGGATGGCATTAATGTGCCAGCAGCTGCTTTTCCCTCAGAGAACTTTGCAACTTTAAACAGTTCTTTTGTGCTGCTTGTGGTGGGAAACAAGTCACATTAGGAAGAACATTATCATGAGCTGCCTTGCACACTGGATGATGATTTTGCTATTTTAGGCCATGGAGGAGCTGGTGGACTGTGGACTGGTAAAAGCCATTGGATTCTCCAACTTCAACCATGAGCAGATTGAAAGGATCTTGAACAAGCCAGGACTGAAGCACAAGCCTGCAAATGTCCAGGTGAGCTGCAAAGTGACTGCAGGTGACTGCATTTGTGGGATTATAAATTCCATTTACATTCCATTTACAGTGGAATGAGGAGATGGGAAAAGGGTGAACACAGAAGACACAGCATGTACTTTAAATCCCTCTCTATGGATATTTCAGAGTACAGCACTTGGATACTCCATTTTTTTTTTTTTTTAATTTTATCACCTTGCTTAACCACTGTTTAAGGATGTTGGAGAATTTCCCTGAAAACAGCCTTTCTGGAATAATAAAGAAGGCAGAGATGAGCTTTGTGAAATGCCCCCCAGCAAAAACTGTATAAGCACTTTGTATCAAATAGGTGATTTAATATAATAAGGATGGGTATTGTCATGCAAGCCACTGTCAAATTAGGGAAAAAAGCAGCCTCTAATTGAACTAGGAGATAACTTATGGAGCACAACAATATTGCAGCAGTTCTGCCACTGTCAGGCTCTTTGTTTTTGTGTTGGCAGATTGAATCTCATCCATACCTCACCCAGGAGAAGCTGATCAAGTACTGCCAGTCCAAAGGGCTGGCTGTGACTGCATACTGTCCCCTTGGCTCTCCTGACAGACCATGGTAAATTTTCTCTGCAATCTGCCAGGGAGCTGCTGGGGCTTATGACTCAAGCACCGAGACTACACATACGCCACTCATTTCTTATTTAAACACAGATCTCTTTTGCTGTGCTGAATCTTTCTGTGGAGGTTTCTTGCCACTGATTTGTTCTCTCTGTGTAGGGCTAAGCCCGGGGATCCTTCCCTTCTGGATGACCCCAAGATCAAAGAGATTGCAGCCAAGCACGACAAAACCCCAGCACAGGTGGGTACTCCTTCCCAATGAATTGGAAACTCTTGCCCTTCCCCATGAATTGTGCCACTCCTCTGATTTTTCCCTAACAATGCAGATTTTTTTTTTTATGATATTACCTCCAGGACACACTATTAACTCTTAGGCCATCAAAAAGATTCTCGACCACCTTCAGATGTGACTTCCCCTCTCAAGTCCTCTTGCAGAGAATGTAAACCTTGCACAGACTGCTAAAATCCTAGGTGCAAACAAAGGAGTGGTCTGGCCCAAACCTGGATGGGAAGGGAGGTTTCCTGTGAGGCTCCACCACTTCCTTCTCTGCTCTCCAGGCAGTGCAGTGCAGGTTCTCCTTCGCTTCCAGATCCAGAGAAATGTGGCTGTGATTCCCAAATCCGTCACCCCAGAGCGCATTGTGGAGAACTTCCAGGTGAGGGATCAGGAGTGAGCAGGGGCTGCCCCTCAGGGATGGCTGGGCAGTGATCCTTTATCACCCTTGCCATGGCCTCCTGCAGCAGGAGGGCTGGGCTCTTCCTTCTTCCTGCTTAATTTACATTTTACCTGCATAACTACACTTCACTGAGTGTTAACCCAGGCCTAATTCTTGAGAGTTTAATTAGCAATCCTTACATGATATCGTTCCCCTCCTGCAGCAGGAGGGCTGGGCTCTTCCTTCTTCCTGCTTAATTTACATTTTACCTGCATAACTACACTTCACTGAGTGTTAACCCAGGCCTAATTCTTGAGAGTTTAATTAGCAATCCTTACATGATATCGTTCCCTGTTCCATGGATGGATGAGCAGCCACAGCTTGCTTGGAATCCCCACTCAGCAACATGCCAGAAACATCTCACCTAGAATCAGCAATGTTCATAAAATAATCCCTCGTGTCCATAAAACAAGTTGTTCTTCTTAATTCAGTGGTCCATGTGTGAAAGTGGATTCTCCAGTGTGGAGCTGCTCTTGTATTTCTCTTAGGTTTGTTCAAAGAAGTGATTTCCTCTTGTACCTCTAATTAGGTGTTTGACTTTGAACTGACTAAAGAGGAGATGGCAACTATTCTGACCTTCAACAGAAACTGGAGGATCTGTGAAATGAACGTGTAAGTGATGCCCCTTGTTTTCTTCTAAATCTTAAATCCTGAATATTCTTTACAAGGAATTTTGTGTCACAGCTTCTAGGTAACATGGAATTCAATTTTTTTTAAATTACACCAACTCAAACTCCAAGTGGTTTGTCCCAGAAAAATAACATTTTCAGGACAGGGCTTAATGTTTTCACTTTAAAAACAAAACAACAAAAAAATTAAAGCAAACTACATTCTAATTTTCAATTCTGAGTTTTCAGGAAACTCTCTTGAATTACAAAAAAAATGGGATGTTCAATTCATCTCTCTGTATATGAGAGAAAGGAGAACATGTATCTCTGCCTATTCTTGCTGTAACTCTGTGATGCAGATCTCTTGGTGGCTCTTCCATACACACAACATATCTCTAAATCACATTTAAATCATAGGTGAAAATAACACTCCCACTTTCATTTCTTTCAGGTCCAAAAATCTCAAGGAATACCCTTTCCATGCAGAATACTGAAGGTGCTTTTAACATGGCCTTCATTAGATTTTTGGTGTCATCTCCCCTGGTCTTGCATCAGCAGAAACCAGATGTTGACAAACACACCCCCCAGATCCACAATTTCATCAGAGGTGTCATGCATTTTAAATAAAATGAACTTTAAAATGTAAAAAACTTAATTGGTGGAAAGTTTTCTGTCTACTGTAGGAAAAACACAAAACCCTCCCACCCAGAGGTGCAGAGAGGGGTGGGTTGCAGTCACCTGCACTGTGGGGACACAGATCCTGCCTGGGACATTCAGCATTTTCCCCCGCCATCCCTCAGCACCCCCCTTGTGCCCCCCTCACCAGCCACAGCCCTGTTTTTCACAGACAAATACATGAATTTTCACAGATCTTCAGA